TGTTCTTTCAGAATAGGCTTATCATGATTAAGTGATGTAGCTTTGCCTGATTTATATTTTTGAAATAATTTTCTTGGAGGTTAGAATCCAAGTGTCAGGCATTGCACTAGAAATTAATAAGTTTCCCTTTCCTATCCTCTTTCACTTTTGCCTTTCTCCCTTTGTTAGCTTGACTTCTAACTCTACTTAGAGAATTTGCTCTAATTTTGCTTAGAGAATTTGCTCTAATCATTCTGAATAAACAAGGAGTGATATTAAGTATGACTTTACACATGTAAATGAGCAAAGTGAAAGTGGATCCAGGGCATTAATAGGCCCATAAATGTTGCCCTTAGGTGGAAGAAGAACCTGAAGAAGAACCAGAAGAAACAACAGAAGACACAACAGAAGACACAGAGCAAGATGACGAAGAAGAAATGGATGCAGGAACTGATGAAGAAGATCAAGAAACAGCAAAGGTATATTAAATCAAGAGTGAGACTTGCATTTTTAGTTTAAAAAGTTGGGCAGAATTTTAGTTCTGGCAAAGGTAGGACTGTGTAACTTACAGAAATTAGACTGTGAGCCTTATACAAATCTGCCTTAAAATAGGGATCTATCTAATATCAAAATCAAAAGCTTGAGCAAATCATTTTTTCTCTTTAAAAAGCATGTAATCATATCACTTCCTTTATTCCTCTATTTTAACAGCCATTCTAGCGATGTTTTTAAACATATTTCCTTTTCTTGGCCCACAATGTTACTATATTCCTTGCAACTTGCTTCTGTGTTGCTATATAGCAACATTAGACTAATTTAAATTTTTTTTTTTTTTTTTTTCTTTTTTTGAGACAGAGTCTCACTTTGTTGCCCAGGCTAGAGTGAGTGCCGTGGCGTCAGCCTGGCTCACAGCAACCTCAATCTCCGGGGCTCAGCGATCCTACTGTCTCAGCCTCCCAAGTAGCTGGGACTACAGGCATGCGCCACCATGCCCGGCTAATTTTTTGTATATATATTTTTAGTTGGTCAATTAATTTATTTCTATTTTTGGTAGAGACGGGGTCTCGCTCAGGCTGGTTTTGAACTCCTGACCTTGAGCAATCCGCCCGCCTCGGCCTCCCAAAGTGCTAGGATTACAGGCGTGAGCCACCACGCCCGGCTAATTTAAATTTTTGATTTGTGTGTTCATGGACCATTGATCTTGTTGGTGAGTTCTAACTTATGTTTCCAGATAAGCAAGGTGAAGTTCTGGCCTACACCTGAAATGTTAGAAATAGGCCGGGCCCATTTAAGTTGTTTTTTCCATACATAAAGCTTCTATAAGCTAGAGTTTTTTTTCTGCTGGCTTTTAATGCCTTCTGGTTTTTCTATTTTTGCAGGAATCTACAGCTGAAAAAGACGAATTGTAAATTATACTCTCACCATTTGGATCCTGTGTGGAGAGAGAATGTGAAATTTAAGTCATTTCTTATGGGAGAGACTTGTTCTGGATGCTCCCCAGTCCCCTTTTCCCCTGCACTGTAAAATGTTGGGATTGTGGGTCACAGGAAGAAGTGGGTTTTTTAGTTGAATTTTTTTTAACATTCCTCATGAATGTAAATTTGTACTATTTAACTGACTATTCTTGGTGTAAAATCTTGTCATGTGTATAAAAATAAAAAAGATCCCAAATACTCAGTGTTTTTATTATATTTTCATAATACATTGCCTAGAACTACTTGATACTTTGCTGCTTTTTAAAAAAATCTTATGTCTTGGGTTCTTTCTTTTACCTACAAAAGTGATTCATGCTTATCAAAGAAAAGTTTTTTAAAAAAATCAAAGGTTGAGCTGGGCACAGTTGGCTGGTAGCTGTAGTCCCAGCTATGGGGAGGGCTGGGACAGGAGGATTGTTTGAGCCTAAGAGTTCAAGACTGTAGTGTGCTATGATTGTGTTGCATTCCAGCCTAGGTTACAGTGAGACCTCAAAAAACCAAATGTTTGAGTTTAAAAATCAAAGATTTAAAAAATCTCTCATTGGGAGAAGAGAGAATCTTACAGAAGAATTCCAAATAACATAGATACTCCCTGTTCCAGGGCATGTAGTTTAATTCTCCACTCCTTTTTGAATGTGGCTAGACTTAGTGAATCACTTCTAAAGAATGGAAAGGGAAAAATGGTAACTTTTGCAATGGAGAAACCTGGCAGACACTACCTTAATCAAGTGATCAAGGTTAATATTAGAAGTAATGTGTACCCCATGATAGGATATGATGAGAAGGGCGCTTCACTTCTGTGGTATTCTTTCCCCAAAACCCCTATTATCAACCTAATGAGAAAAATATCAGGCAAATTTAGGCTTTGCCAATAGTGCTCTTCAAGTTTCAAGATCATGAAAAAGGAGGGAAGACAGAAATACTGCGGTTGGAGGAGACTAAGGTATGTGATAACTAAATGCAGTGTGATACCCTAGACTAGATCCTGGAAACAAGGCATTAAATGGAAAAACAAATCCAAATAAGGTCTAGAGGACAGTTGAGAGTAATGTACCAATATTGGTTTCTGTGATGTACCATGGTAATTTAAGATGACAACATTCATGGAAATAGTAGGGAATATACAGGACCTCTATCACCTAGTTTTTCTATAAATATAAATGCCAATTTTTTTTAAGCTGTCTTTGAAAAAAATCACCCAAAATTCTACCACAGAGATAACCATAAGGCATTGAGTGAGGATCCACACTAAGATACTTTATGCTTTTGAAATGCACTCTTGTTTATGGGAGAAACAATTTCTACTTTAACTATTAAAACCATATGAAATGATTGTCTTTTTTTTTTTTTTTTTTTTTTTTGAGACAGAGTCTCGCTTTGTTGCCCAGGCTAGAGTGAGTGCCGTGGCGTCAGAGCTCACAGCAACCTCAAACTCCTGGGCTCGAGTGATCCTTCTGCCTCAGCCTCCCAGGTAGCTGGGACTACAGGCATGCGCCACCATGCCCGGCTAATTTTTTATATATATATCAGTTGGCCAATTAATTTCTTTCTATTTATAGTAGAGACGGGGTCTCACTCTTGCTCAGGCTGGTTTTGAACTCCTGACCTTGAGCAATCCGCCCGCCTCGGCCTCCCAAGAGCTAGGATTACAGGCGTGAGCCACAGCGCCCGGCCTGTCTTTTTTTTTTGAGACAAGGGTCTCATTCTGTTGCCTGGGCTAGAGTGCAGTAGCACAATCAGCTCACTATAACCTCAAGATCTTGTTCTGTTGCCCAGGCTGGTCTCAAACTCTGGCCTCAGGTAATCCACTTTGGCCACCCAAAGTGCTGGAATTACAGGCATCAGCTGACACGCCCAGCCTCTCTTGGACTTTTTCATGATTTAAAAAACCTTTATTATAAAGGAATAACTTAGCACTACTTTTAATTTTTGAGGTTTGTATATATATATCATAGGTCTGTTTTTTTTTTAATATTTATTTTTTTTCTTGAAGTTGTCATGGTGGGAGTATTTACCTATATCACAGATTTGGTTCCCCAAAAAACAATGACATGGAGTTTAGGATATAGAGTGTTTATTAAGGAACACCTGTGGAAGGACAGGAAATGGGATTGAGCAGAAGTTAAACTGCAATGTAGGCCCAAAGACAGTGTCAGTAAACCCCACCGAGAGTTGTGGAACTACAGCTAGGCCCAGCAGTTGCCCATCCCTCCTGTGCTGAAATAGCCAGGCCTTTCTACTCTCACCTCCATCCGTTATTGGATAGGGGCCCCTTCAGGAGGCGTGGCTTTGAGCAAGGAAACTGAGGCAATCCTTGCAGAATCTGACAACTGAAAGCTGCTCAATGACAGCACTCCTAGTTGGGTGGGGGGCGGGAGGGAGGGCAGGGAACAAGCCAGCCATAGGGAATCTAGATGGCACATTTGCACACCCACAACATATATTTTTCACAATGGGAGTCAACTTCAAGAGGAAGAAAATATGTATCTGGGTGCAAGTTGCTTAGAACCAGCACTTACTAAAATAAAGATGGCATTTTTACTAGGTAAATAGTAACTAAAATTAATTTTTTGCCTTCATTAAGTCATTGTCTTGTAGGTGATGGGTTCAAATCATGATTCTGTCAGTAGCCAGACCATCTACTCTGAACCTATATAGGAAAGCTTCTGAAGTGTGGCCCAGTGCATTCGTCCAAGGCAGGATCCTCCCCCTGCACACAAACTGGCCCTAAGGGTCGGGTCCTTTCTTTGCGCAAAAGGTGAGAAATGCCCCCAGCCCTTCATTCTAGAAAGTGATGCGGGCTCCTCGCTGGTATCTACAAAATACTTGCTGTTCATATACTAAAGTCAGCAGAAAATTATTAATACAATTTGAAAATATCAGTGTAACAATAAGAAATAAAAACTCCATTTAGCAAGTTAAATTGACGAAACTAGTTTATGGTTTTAAAATGATTTTATTGTTGATTTACATTCAAGACAATCCACACAGTATGCTTGCAAATAAATACTCTACCTCACGTGATATTCAAGACTATGTTCCAAATCACATTCAAGAAGTAGATGATAGGCTGGGCGCGGTGGCTCACGCCTATAATCCTAGCACTCTGGGAGGCCGAGGCGGGTGGATTGCTTGAGGTCTGGAGTTCGAAACCAGCCTGAGCAAGAGCAAGACCCTGTCTCAACTACAAATAGAAAGAAATGAATTGGCCAACTAATATATATACAAAAAATCAGCCGGGCATGGTGGCACATGCCTATAGTTCCGGCCACTCGGGAGGCTGAGGCAGGAGGATCGCTTGAGCCCAGGAGTTTGAGGTTGCTGTGAGCTAGGCTGACGCCATGGCACTCACTCTAGCCTGGGCAACAAATCGAGACTCTGTCTCAAATAAAAAAAGAAGTAGATGATACACACTTTAGCAGTTTTCAAGAAATATTGGTCAAACCATAATTAAATTTCAATGTACTAAGCACCTCTTCTTGCACTTAGCATTGGACTAGGTGCTGAAGTATTAATAGTTTCACTCAATAAATGTTTAAAAAATGCTTAAGATATAATATTATTCACAGAATTCTTGGCATAGTTGTATTTAAGTGTCTACTGCTGAGAAATTTGAGGTTTGTGCTGTCTCTCTTTTAGTCCCAAAAGCTCTGTTTTGAGTTCTCCAGGCTTCGGTGGAATTTCAGGTATCGTCTATAAAAAACAAAAACCATAGATGTCAATGCTTTCTTAAACTATAATGTAATGTGAACTGAAAGACTTTACACAGTAAAAAAAAACCGAAGTCACCTGCTTGCCACTCAATGATAAATATTACGAGAACCTGTGAGACTCTTTCTAACCTCATATTTATAGGATTCCATCATCCTGGCAATGTCTTAAGTACTACAAGCCTCACAGAGGGATGGTTTGCCACATTTGGAAAATTCATTCCTGCACTATCTACTGACTTCACCATGTGCCTGGTACAGAAAATAGGTACTAGGAATTAATACATTTATTAAAAAATATTAAGCGTCTATTATGTGCAAATCACAAGGCAGCAAGGAAAAAAATACAAAATCCTTGCCTTCAAGGAAGGTGCCTTCATGAGAAGGTGACTTTTTTTATATAATAGCTTTATTGAGAGTTTACATGCCATACCATTCACTGATTTAAAGTGTACAATTCAATGGCTTCTGGTATATTCAAAGTTGTGCATCTATCGCAATTAGTGATAAAATTAGTTGTGCATCTAATTTTAGAACATTTTCATTGCCCCCAAAAGAAACCCCATACCTACTAGCAGTCACTCCCATTTCCATACAACTATTTCCAAACAACTATTAATCTTTCTGACTATATAGATTTACCTATTCTGTTCACTTCATATAAATGGAATCATACGTGGTCCTTTGTTTCTGGCTTCTTTCATGTAACAAAATGTTCTCAAGGCTCATCCATGTTGTAGCATGTTATCAGTATTTCATTTCTGTTTATTGCTGAATACTCTTCCAACGTATGGATATACCATATATTTATCCACTCATCAGCCCATGTGCATTTAAACTGTTTCCACATTTGGGCTAACACATATAATACTGCTCTGAAAATTCATGTACAAGTTTTTGTGTGAATATATGTTTTCATATCTGCTGGGTATAAACCTAGAAGCGGAAATGCTGGATCATATGGTAATTCTATGTTTAACTGTTTGAGGAACTGTCAGACTGTTTTCCTAAGGAGCTCCACCATTTTACATTTCCATCAGCAGTACATGAGGGTTCCAATTTCTCCATATCCTTGACAACACTCGTCATTATCTGTTTTACTATAGCCACCATAGTGGGTATGAAGGGGTATCCCACTGTGGTTTTGATTCGCATTTCTCTGATGACTAATGATGCTGAGCATCTTTTCGTGTACTTACTGGCTGAGAAGGTGACTTCTGAACAAAGACATGAAGGAGGATGAGGGAACCAGCCATGCAGTTATCTAGGAGTGTTTCAGGTAGATGAGATCACAAGTGCAGAGGACTTAAGACAAGAGTGTGCCTTTGTGTTCAAGGAAAAGCAAGGCTGTCAGTATAGCTCATACAAAGTATTCAGGGAAGGGCAAGAGTAGACAAGGGCAGAGGAAAAAAATGGAGTGGGGAGATAAAAGTCTCCAATAGCTTTTACTTTGAAATGGGAGGATACTGGAGAGTTTTGGGAAGAGTGACATGACCTGACTCAAGTGTAAAAAGATGATAATGGTAGCTTTTGGGGGAATAGACCATAGAGGAGCAAGAATGGAAGGCAGAAGACAGGTTGGGGAGCTCTCGCAATAACTAAGATGAAAGCAGACTGACAATAGCTTGAACTGGGTGGTAGCAATGGAGGTGGTGAGAAGTGGTCAGCATCTGAATGTGGGGGGCGGGGACGTAGCTTGCGAAGAGAAGGAAAAGAATGGCCCTGAGGCAGGGATAGGTTTGATGAGTTTGAGATACAGCAAAGAGGCAGGTTTAACTGCAACAGAGGGAACAAGTGAGAAATGTTGGGAGATAGGCCAGCGGTAGGCAGCGGCCAGACTGTGTAGTATCTCACAGGCCATGCATTGTTCTAGATGCAATGGGATGCCATCAGAAGCTTTTAGGCCCACCCACGGGAGATGTGATCCTAATTTCGTTTAGGATCACTTATGCTGCTGTGAGGAAAATGAAGTGGTCCAGGAGCAAGGACTAAAGGGCCCTCCTGCACTCACCAGGTCCGGCCGGTAGTACCTGTGCACCACTTCGGCCCCCGCGCACATGGCTAGGAGGCTGGCTGCGAACATTTTCAGGTAGGTGGCCAAGGGCACGCCCGCGGGCATGGTCGGCGGGCTGCACGGGGAGGGAAAGGGCAGTGTGAAAAGGTTCTCCGCTCACGACGAAGCTAAGCCTGGGGCCGAGGGGCTCCAGGTAGCACTGGCAACAAGCCCCACAGCAGCGAGGGGGCGGAGTCTAGAACGGCTGGGTTCTTCCCCACCCCAGTGCCTCGGCTTTCTCCTTTAGAGGGCACTGAGGGGACGAACGCCCCTACCAGGCCGACGCCCAGCCTTCAATCGTTCATCAGTGTGGGGCGCCTGAGCAGCTCTTGCTGAGCAAGCAGAAGGGCGACACCGGCGGTTCCCCGACGCCTCTCCAATCTCCAGGAGAGGAACTGCGCTACCCACTGCCCCTTTAGCCGCGCCCAGAGAGACACCGTACCGCGAGGTGCACAGATGTGGATCGCCGGTCAGAGGGCGGGCATTAATTCGCTCAGGAGCCGGAGTGGACTGCGAGAGGGCCGGACGGAAAGTACAGGAGCAGGGGGCCGAGCCGGACTGGAAAGCGGAGGGACGCCGGCGCGGGCACGTGACCCCGGCGGAAGTGGGGTGCTGGGAGAAAGCCTGAGTGTTTTTTTTTCCCTCTATAGTTCCTACGCTTCCCAGCCCTGGGCTCCCGGTGCGTCAGCCTATAGTTGAATTTCCCTGCCAGATGTGGCGTCTCAGGCTTGGCTTTGGATTATTCCATCTTTCCTTGTTTCCCACACTCAAAGGAAAGTGCACGTGTTTATCGCCTTTTAATAGGGGTGGAGAATCACACATCGAGCCAATTGCGTGCTTTCGTGTGCGGTCTCTGTAAAGTGAAGTTAAAAGCTCTCATTGTCCTTGTTCCTGGCGTCTTTGATGACTGAAATAGAACCACACCCAAACACCTATGCCCTTTTGTTATCTGTGCTGCTGGGGGAAAAAGGAAACCTGAAATTGACATTATTTAATCCAGGTATTTTTACATTGTTTTGATTATGGATTGATTTTTTTTTTAAGTAAAAAGCGCATGACTGAATTCTGAAGAATTCAGTTGTATGTATAACAGTCACAATATACTCATTTTTAAACAATTTTTGTAGGTATATTTGACATACAATAAACTGAATGTATTTAAAGTATACAATTTGATGGGTTTTGACATGTGAGCCCATTACGATTAAGATAATGAACATATCCATCACCCTCAAAAGTTTCTTTGTGTTTCTTTTTACTCCCTTCCACACTGCCTCATTCCCTGGGTAATCACTGATCCGCTTTCTGTCATTATAGATTAGTTTGCATTTTCTAGAATGTTATATAAGTGGAATCATACAGCATGTACTATTTTTTGTCTGGTTTATTCCAGACAGCAACGTTATTTTGAGATTCACTGCGTTGCGGCATGTGTCAGCTGTTCACTCCTTTTTATTGCTGGGTCTGTTTATATCGCAGCTGGTTTATCCATGTACTTTATCCATTTTGATTGCTTCCAGTTGTTGGTGTGAAAATAAATAAAATTTAAAAGCTGTTGGAACCCCTAAAAATACTTTAACCCTTGAAAGAGGCATGACTGTGAGCGTACAACTTCTGTGCTCAGATTATAGATAAACTCACTTTCTTATTTTTCTTGTTCCATACAATGACTAGAGAGAATTAACCCGATGTCAGGGACAAAAACCTCCTGCCTTCTTAATTTATTACCCTTGTTATAGATTAATTTCCCCTTTGTTATCCTGCTTTGTTTAGACCAGAAGACAGAAAAACCATCATTATTATACCATCTGTAAAAAACAAACAAAACATTAAATGTACCTTTCCCTAAAAGAAACATCCTATAACCAATCAGATTGCTGTAACTATGTGCCAACCCTGTATGAATAATATTGTAATCCTGCTAAAACTCCTCTGTCTCTCCTTATATAAATGAAATCTTAACTTCGCTACTTCAGAGTTCTGACGCCATTCCTTTGGAGTTGGTTTTTCTGGGTGGTCCTTCCTCACACTTTGTGCCTGAATATATTCTCTTTAAATTAGATTCTGACCCTTTTGATTATTTTAGGTCGACATGGACTAATAGAAATAAAGCTGCTATGAACGGTAAAGTATAGCAGAAAGGCTGATATGCAAGTCTTTCTGGGAACATATGCTTCCATTTGTGAGGTACATATCTAGAAGAGTGACTGGAACATATGGTAGGTGGACATTTAACTTTTTAAGAAATTGCCAAACTGTTTTCCAGAGTAGTTGTACAATTTTACATTCCCACCAGCAGTGTATGAGAGTTCCACTTCCTTCACAATCTCTCCAACATTCGCTCTGGTTAGTCTTTTTAATTTTAGCCATTCTAGTATGTAGGTAATGGTTTCTCATTATGAATTGAATTTACGTTTCCCTCATAACTAATAATTCAGGTATTCATGAGCAAAAACAAAACAAGCAACAACAACAAAAACTTGAATACATACCTCACACCGTTATTAAAAAATCAAAATGGATCATAGACATTCATGTACTTATAAAGTCACATGTTACATAACAACATTTCAATCAATGGTGGACCAAATACATCAGGCATCCTCAAACTACGGCCTGCGGGCCACAGCGGCAAGTGTTCTTGGCCTTGTTTTGGTTTTTTACTTCAAGGAATAAGTATATGTGCAGTGTGCATATGTTATAAACTAATTTGTGAAACTATAGTCGCCCTCCAACGGTCTGAGATAGTATATACTGGTCTGTCGTGTGTGTGTGTGTGTGTTTAAACAAGTTTTGTTAGTAATCTCTCGTGTGTTGTGGTGTGGGTGTTGAATACATGTTGTGCTATTGTGTGTGTCCTGTTAAGTAATTATGAATCTGAAAAATTATTCCTTCACTGCAGGGTGTTGTACATCCTGACTCATGTGGTTTGTGTGATGCTGGTTATAAACAAACCTACGTGCTGCCAGGTGACTCATAAAAGTATAGGCACAGTATAGTATGTATCAGATGGCATAATACTTGATAGATGATAATAAAGACTATGCTACTAGTTTACTGTATTGTAGCCGTAGCTCTTGTTATTTTTTTCAGGTACTCCTTCCACATACTAAAAGAAAAGTTACTTGTAAAACGCCCTCAGGCGAGGTCATCTGAAGGTATTCCAGAAGGCTTTGTTATTGTAGATGACATGTCTGTTATTGCCCCTGAAAATCTTCCAGTGGGGCCGGGTGTGGTGGCTCATGCCTGCAATTCTAGCACTCTGGGAAGCCAAGGCAGGCGAGTTGCTCGAGTCAGGAGTTCAAAACCAGCCTGGCAAGAAGCTAGACCCCTTCGTCTACTATAAATAGAAAGAAAGGTAATTGGCCAACTAATATATATAGCAAAAAATCAAGCCGGGCATGGGTGGCGCGCTGCCTGTAGTCCCAGCTACTCGGAGGCTGAGGCAGGAGGATTGCTTGAGCCCAGGAATTTGAGGTTGCTGTGAGCTAGGCTGCCGCCATGGCACTCACTCTAGCCTGGGCAACAAAGTGAGACTCTGTCTCAAAAAAAAAAAAAGGACCTTTCAGTGGGACAAGGTATGGAGGTGGAAGACAGTGATATTGATGATCTTCACTTTGTGGACGCCTAGGCTAATGTGTGTGTTTGTGCCTTAGTTTTTAACAAAAAAGTTTAAAAAGTAAAAATAAATAAAAAATGTTAGAAATAGAAAAAAGCTTGTAGAATAAGGATATGAAGAAAGAAAATATTTTTGTACAGCTGTATGATGTTTGTGTTTTAAGCTGTGTTACTACAAGAGTCAAAAAGTTAAAAAAAAATTTTAAAGCTTATAAAGTTAAAAAGTTACAGTAAGCTGAGATTAATGTATTATTGAAGAAAAATATTTATAAATTTAGTGTATCCTAAGTGTATGGTGCTTATATAGAGAGTCTACAGTAGTGTACAATAATGTCCTAGGCCTTCACATTCACTCACCGATCTCTCACACCCACCCAGAGCAACTTCCAGCCCTGTAATCTCCATTCATGGTAAATGCCCTATACATATTTTTATTTAATAGCATTACTGTACATTTCTATGTTTAGATATATAAATACTTGACATTGTTATTAAAATTGCCCACAGTGTGGCCGGGCGCGGTGGCTCACGCCTGTAATCCTAGCTCTCTGGGAGGCCGAGGTGAGCGGATTGCTCAAGGTCAGGAGTTCGAAACCAGCCTGAGCAAGAGCGAGACCCCGTCTCTACTATAAATAGAAACAAATTAATTGGCCAAATAATATATATAGAAAAAATTAGCCGGGCATGGTGGCACATGCCTATAGTCCCAGCCACTTGGGAGGCTGAGGCAGAAGGATTGCTTGAGCCCAGGAGTTTGAGGTTGCTGTGAGCTAGGCTGACGCCATGGCACTCATTCTAGCCTAGGCAACAAAGCGAGACTCTGTCTCAAAAAAAAAAAAAAAAAAATTGCCCACAGTGTTCAGTACAGTAAGATGCTGTACATGTTTATAGCCTAGGAGCAATAGGCTATACTATATACCCTAGGTGTGTAGTGGGCTCTACCATCTATGTTTGTGTAAGTACACTCTATGCTGTTTGTACAATGATGAAATCAACTGATGATACATTTCTCAGAATGTATCCCTATCGTTAATTGAGGCATGACTGTATTTTCACGTGCTTCTATTTTTTTTCGTGAAGTATGTGTTCAAATCTTTTGCCAATTTTTAAAATTGAGTTGTTTTCTTATGAGTTTTGAGTATTCTTTATACATTCTGGACACAAGTCCTTTATCAGATATGATATGATCGATCTACAAATATTTTCCCCCAGTCTATAGCTTGCCTTTTCTTTTCCTTTTTTTTTTTTCTGAGACAGAGTCTTGCTTTGTTGCCCAGGCTAGGGTGAGTGCCATGGCATCATAGCCTAGCTCACAGCAACCTCAAATTCCTGGGCTCAAGCAATCCTCCTGCCTCAGCCTCCCGAGTAGCTGGGACTACAGGCATGCGCCACCATGCCCGGCTGATTTTTTCTATATATATATTAGTTGGCCAATTAATTTCTTTCTATTTATAGTAGAGACGGGGTCTAGCTCTTGCTCAGGCTGATTTTAAACTCCTGACCTTGAGTGATCCGCCCCGCCTTGGCCTCCCAGAGTGCTAAGATTACAGGCCTGAGCCACCGCGCCCAGCCTATAGCTTGCCTTTTCTTTTCTGTAAATAGTCTTTGGAAGAGAAGAAGTTTTTAATTTTAATGAAGTCCAGTCCAATTTACCAATTTTCTTTTTTATTGATTTTTTTTTTTTTTTTTTTTTGGAGACAGAGTCTCGCTTTGTTACCCAGGCTAGAGTGCCATGGCATCAGCCTAGCTCACAGCAACCTCAAACTCCTGGGCTCAAGCAATCCTTCTGCCTCAGCCTCCCGAGTAGCTGGGACTACAGCCATGTGCCACCATGCCCAGCTAATTTTTTCTATATATCTTAGTTGGCCAATTAATGTTTCTATTTATAGTAGAGACAGGTCTCACTCTTGCTCAGGCTGGTTTTGAACTCCTGACCTGGAGCAATCCTCCTGCCTGGGCCTCCCAGAGTGCTAGGATTACAGGCGTGAGCCACGCCTGGCCTATTGATGTCTTTTGTATTTATTTAAGAAATATAACTCAGGGTCATAAATATTTTTCTTCTGTATTTTCTTCAAGACATTTTATAGTTTTAGCCTTTACATTTAAGTCTATGATCCATTTTAACTTTTTAATATGGTGTGGGGTATGGGTACAGTTTTTTTGTTTTTTGCATATGGATCTCTGAATTTACCTTTGCAGCTTTGTTGAAAATCAGATGATCAGTTGTCCATGTATGTGTGTGTCTATTTCTGGACTCTAGTCTGTTTCACTGACATATTTATCTCTCTAATACCAATACCATACTGTCTTGATCACTGTAACTCTTGAATCATACAGGGTTATCTCTCCAATTTTGTTCTAAGAGTTGTTTTGGCTATTCTAGATCCTTGCATTTCCGTATGAATTTTAGAATCATCTTGTCAATTTCTACTCAAAAAAGCTTACTTGCTGTCATATTGAAATCTTTATAGACATTTTCACAATGTTGGCCTTCTGATCCATGAACATAGTGTATCTCCCCACTTATTTCATCCTTAATTTCCCTCAGCAATGTTTTACCATTTTTAGGATACAGGCTTTGGGTTTTTTTCGGATTTTTTGTCTTTGTTTTGCTAGAGTGCCATAGCATCAGCCTAGCTCACAGCAACCCCAAACTCCTGGGCTTA